TACTTTTTGAGCATACTATTTTCCCACTTACCACGTTTGCCCCTTTGTGCAGATCCGCAGTCGAGACAAGCACATCAACAACCTGAAGAAGAAGTGTCAGAAGGAGTCTGAGCTGAAGCGAGAGAACCAGCAGCGTATTGAGACTCTGGAGCGCTACCTCGCTGACCTGCCCACCTTGGAGGACTACCAGAGCCAGAACAAGCAGGTTAGGACAGACTGGTCCATTCTTACTGGGTCTGCTCTGATTTCTGTGGGTAAATCATTAAACTAGGGATGGCTCAATACCACTTTTTCATGTCTTATACCGCAACCTTGAGTATCTGCCAATACCAATACATACCAATACAATACTTTCTTATTCCCTCTCATAAATAACTAAACTTTTAATAATACATTTGTATGGATGCACTTTGCGTAACCTAGACATCTAAAAACATCATGCTGAAACTGGAACAAATATTCTGTTCCCATGAAGGAAGAAATACACTGCCCACATCCATGATTAAATACTGCTGTTTTTGATTGGTCAGCGCCATTCAAACATTTAAATTTGCTCACGGCTGTTATGATTTTCTTAGTTTTTTCCCCCATGAGATTAAGATTACTTCTTACAGCTAACATAATGACATGTCACCCGCATTCTAGCTCATACAGGCACATCACTACATTGAACCTAGACAAATGAAACCTTTTGTGTTTTGTATCAGCTTCTAGAGGCCGAAAAGCAGGTCACTCAGCTACAAGATAAAGTGAGAGACTTGGACGTCTGTCTAGAGACAACGTGCTCACAACTACGGGAAAAAGACGCACATCTGGATGAACAGAAACGCAGGGAGAGAGACCTGCTGACCACCATTACTGAGTATGTACACACACAGTCAGACAGCTGTGTACCATCTTCTCACTGCACATGTTCTTTTAAGCAGGACTTACTCTGCATTATGTGTTCTGCCTTTTTATTTTGGTCTTCATCAGTATGCAGCAGCGGGTACAGCAGGGCCTTGAGGATGGAGCCAGGCTGCCTTCCCTGGATATCGAGAAGCTCAGAGGAGAGAACAACGCTTTAAGAGAGGAGCAGCAGAGACTGAAAAAGGTCTGTTGTTTGTCTGTTTTGTGTGTTTTCTCTTTAAAAGCTCATTTGGTTACTTGTGGGACAGCTTTTATTTGAATACTCCTCAGGCTGCTTTTATTTATGAAGTGCAGTGGGTGTACAAGGACATTTCGTGAATGGGGCTACGGCAAAAAATATCACTAAATGCATTATTAGTACTGTAGTTGAGCTGGAAACTGTCATTTCCAAATGAATCCCCATGATATGTCAATAATTGCATTATGTCCCTTCTTGCATCACCTGTACAGACTTGTATAGCAGCCCCAAAATACCAAGAGTACAATAAAATTGGTTTAAATTTACCCCTCCTAACTATTGTAATACATAAACTGTTCATTTTATGCAACCTAACGGCAGTTTATATTGACCCTAAATGACTTTGGCTTCAGAAAGTTGATCTGGCTGAGTGAGGTTAGAGGAAGTGCGTATTCGGTTAAATTTGAACAAACAGGAAGTGTTAATTTCTCTGGGAGTAAGTTTCTTGAGCAGCAAACTGTTAAGTTTGAGAGTAACCAAAGATTAGTATTATATTAGTAATAAGTAATATTTATTGTCTGGTTTGTCATTGTTTTTAGAGTGTAGCTACTTCCTTTTTAAATATCTTCTTTGTAATATTCACCTTGTGTGTGCTTCAACTGCAAAGTAAACTCTCTCGATCATAAACACACACGCACAAACCTCACAACCTCCCAGTCCCACAGAACAGGAATGAGACATCATTTGATCATTTGATTAAAATTAAAGGAGTAGGAGTTGATTGCTGTAATATGTCCAAGTAGAACCATGTTGTTTTAAAGCTCAGCTCTTCTTTTTTTGCAGGTCATTGAGAAGCAGCACCGAATGATGGAACAGCTTGGCTCTCAGATCCAGGTGGTTATCTGCATATACAACGAGTCTCAGTGATTTGTGTGGTTACTGTCCTGTTTTATTGTCTTTTAACATTTATTATTGTTTGTTTGGGTCTGCAGGCCTTGGAGGAACAGGTCTCTCAGGAAGAGAACAGCTCTCAGGCTCTCAGAGAAGAGGTGTTGGCCAAAGAGCAGAATGTGTTAGAGCTCCACACAGCCATGAAGGAGGTGAGATAGCCCCCCCCCAAAAAACAAATCCTCTTGGTTCTTTGTGAACTTGAACTTGAACTGAGTCTGAATTTGACTGGAAAATGTTTACTGTGTTTCAGCTGTCAGTCCAGAACCAGGAACTGATTGAGCAGAATCTGACCCTGCAGGACCAAATGAGCGATCCAGATCAGCGGGGCACTAGCCAGGCTTCCTCTACCCTGCAGCCAGCTGGGTCTCGCCTCACACAGAGGCTACATCTAGAGATCGCCTCCTGCCTGAGTGACCTGCGTTCCCTGTGCAGCATTCTGACCCAGAGAGCTCAGGGACAAGACCCCAACCTCACCCTGCTGCTCGGTCTCGCATGTAAGCACTGCTTGAATCTTACTCTTTCTCATGCTGATGATAGAGTTCACAGACTCAGATCAAGAAAGTTGTACAACGTGGTTTAGAGTTGTGTTTTGTTTTGTTCCCCCCAGCTCCTCTACCAGTGGCAGAGCAGGGAGAGGACTGGATGAATCCAGAGGTGCTGCAGAAGAAGCTGGTTGAGGCTCAACAGCTCCGTCGAGACGTGGAGGAACTACGCAACGTAATACTGGACCGTTATGCGCAGGACATGGGAGAAAACTGCATCACCCAATAACCTTGCCAGCCAGACAATGGAAGAAACTTGTGTAAGCCCAACGTCACCTCTGAAGCATCTATAATGGGCTTGTCTTTCAGTTACTGAATGTCAGAAAGTGGACTGGATTTTAATTTTCTTAAAATGAGGACAGAGGAAAGCCCAAATGGTTTAGCTTTGTCTTTTCTCGACTGACTTTACTTCAATTCTCAAGCCTGCTTGTAGCTAAGAACCCTCCCACCCCCCCTGGTGAGTTCATCTATTTCAGTCCAAGGGCTAACAGAAAATAACTTACCTCTCATACTTGATCCTTAAGCATTGTGTGTGTGTGTGTGTGTGTTGTTTTTTTAAATAATGATGACATGATACTGTCAGTTACCAAACAGTCTTACTTTTTGTTCCACTCTGGTGGAGGTATTTGTGTAGAAGTCCCACAAATATAATTTATTTAAATCTTAATTTCCCTCTCATGGGGAATTATTGAAGAAGTGGTTGACAATCAACTATAAATATTTTTAATCTGTGCTTTTAACTGAATTCACAAGGAACATGTTACTAACACGCCATTATTTAAAATGGTGAACACTGTAACATCAGACTCTGCTGTGAGGTATAAGACTTGACAACTGAAGGGTTTAATACCAAATCAGCTTCTCACACCAACAGGCCTCCAACAGTTTTATTACCAAAGAAACTCTGGTCGAAGCAGTTGTGCAAGTCTGTGAATGTTTTGTGAATGCTTCTCTCTGCTGCAGGCCTCCTTCTGAATGAACACCGACATGTGCCTTTCTGTCACGTTTGCAACCACAATGCTAATTCGTTTTTTTTTTTTTTTTTTGACCAACCACAAAGGGCTGTTTGCAGCCTACTCTTCCAATATGACCTTTCTCTCAGTGTATCAACCAGTAGGATAGTCAATACATTCCCTGACACTGAATGTAGCAGATAACTTTGGGTCACATCACATAACTTGTGGAGGCCCCCGACACTGTTTTATTTTATTTCTTTTTGTTCCTGGTAGATAGTCTGTGTGACGTTTTTAGAATCTGCTCCATGTAGATGAATAACTTCACAGGATACTGTACATTTCAGGTTGATAATGACTGATTTGTGTTCGACAGTGTGGTTAAATGATAAATGTATGACAGAGAAACAGTATTAATCTTCAGTATTATTTATTTTCTTTGTTTGCATTGACAACTCAGTGAGTCCTAATGTGTTGCTGTAACAATGTGCTAATGTGTTCGAGCAGACTTGGCATCCACATTGCGTAAAGGTCCCATGAAGTGGCTCTTTGATAGTACTTTTCTCCTGTGCTTTGATGTGTGTGTCATATAAGATGAGATGTTGGGGCTATTTACTGACGGGGGGGAGACAAAGATTGGCAGCAGTCAGTGAGGCTCTTTAATGTTCTGGAGACGTGTTTTTAATTCTACGTGATGATGATGGGACGGGTTGGCTGGATCACCCCAAAATCAGCAATCACATTGTACTGGATGGAATTTTATATTTGCCCTGAGTGAGGATAAGCCATTGAAAAAAAAAAAACTTGACACTTTAAAGGAAGAGAAAGGGATTTTAATATAAAAAATATGCAACAATTACTCTTGACAACAGAACACACCCAGGGACACACAAGCCATTTTTTCACTTCATGGGACCTTTGTTTTTTTTTTTTAAAAGTCCAATTAGCACAAGATTTATCTTTGGAAAGTCAGGCTCCGCATGCCTTAACATCTCAAATGTTTTTGCAAAAGGGAAAAAGATGTTTATATTTTCATACTTTTGTCCTTGTTTGTATTTGCATATTTTAGAAATAAAGTTTTCAACATTTTGTTTTGTTTTAATTTGTTTTGAATTCCAGTTTGTTCCGTGTTGATCAGTATTTTCATCCCCTCTGTGCAGAAAGCCCAGCAGCAGCTTTCTATAACTAGGGATGCTAGGTCTGTTGGATTGGTATTGGCTGTGATACACATAAAATACTGTTTGAATGGACCTCAGTAGCACAGCGAGCCTTTTTCACAGCAGACATCTCGACGTGTCATAGTAGGAAGATAACAGGTGTAAATAATAAACATTAATGATGGTTGAATTCCATTTAGCTTCATGACGTACTGCCACACATCTACAGAATTAAGCCATCGTTATTGGAATTAGCATCACCTGTGCTTTTGTGAAAAAGGCTGTTTTAAAAAAACAAACAAACATCCCGTAAAAGTCCAATATAACTGTTTATTTTATGGACCTCCATCTGAATGAGGGTGTTTCCTCTTTTGCAGCAGCAGAGTAACGTTAGTCGTGAGTCCACATGAATGGAGCGTCTGACAGTCGTCACCGTAGCAGCACTGTGGGTACGCGCTGATGATGTCATAACCGGGGAGACCACCTCCTCTGTAACAACAAGCAACCAGTGTCACATGTTGTAAAGAGAGACGCTAACAGAAAGACAGTGTCAGTGCAGGAGGATGCGTTCTCACCTGTGTTTGTCCAGATATTGCCGCAGGTGGCCGATCGTTTCTGAGAAGCACATTTTCACTATGAAAGTATGATTCCCGTCTTCTGACTTCACCTTGAGTGTGATAACATCACGGGCAGACGAGGGCCGGTCAGAGCTACATGTCTGCAGTCTGTAGGGCACAAAATCCAAACACACTTGATATAATAGACTCAGACTGGTCTGAGAGTCACTTGGGGCGTCACAGATCTGAATCCCAGACCCCGTCACAAGCTAACGAGTGCTGGCTGTTCATGCCCTATTTTTCAGACCAGTGCGTACAGTAATCTCCACAATCTTGACAATCAGCCACAGCGTACATCAGCATTTTAATCATGCTTTACATCATGTAGCCTGGTGGTGGATCTAGTAATTCCTTTAACCCTGTAAACCCTGTTTTGCCTTATAAATTCTACATGGTTGTAAAGTTAGATAATGATACACAGTACATCTTGTATCTTACACCGACTTAAATTCCAAAATGCAATATTTTCCAAATGGAAATACTCTAGATCTCTGCATCATATTTCTGTCTATTTGAACAATGTTTGTCTGAGCAACCAATACTGGTAGGTGAGTCGGTTTAGGCAACAAAATTGTGCTCACACAATGAATCACAAAATGTTTAATACCTGTCTCTCATCGCTTGCAGCACCGGCGTGTCTATGAGGATGACGGAGTTGGTGCTCTGGGCATCAGATGAAACCTAGTGAAAGTACTTGTTAGATCATTTGCATACTGTAGTGAGAGTACATTCAGCACAAGCACAGACAGGCAAGATGCTGTAGTGATCATCTGCCTAACAGGAGTAGCTCACCTGCAGGACAGCCCTCACTGAGTCCCTGATATCAATCACACGACCAGCTTTTACTACCACCTTCGGTAACCTGTTCAGGAACTGATCCACACTCAGCTTCTTGCCTGTAGCCAGAAGAAAACACGAGGATAAGAATCAAGACTGGGGAGACATTTGGGAGTATCTGTGTGATGTTTGCAGGACAGACCGGGTAGCTGAGAGCTGACGCCATTTGATGATTCATCTTTCTCCCCACGAACAGCCTGTCCTTCACCGGGAAATTTCTTCCACGGCAGCCTGAAAATGAATTCCTCATCTCGTCTGTCATGAACCTGAACAAAAAAAATTGTAATAAGTAGCCAAGTCGCACATTTACACATTTACTCTCAAACGGAAACAAACCTCGAAAGGTACGCCATCTGGGAATCTCTCCTGAAGCTCAGATGGGAAGTACCCGTCCATCAGATCTTGCATGCAGCGCTGCAAAGACCAAAGACAGAGGATTTGAACCACCAAAGAATCCAGTTTCAAGTATGGAATTTTCTGCCGCTTTAGCGAGCTAACCTGGGTGCTGCGCTCCTGATAAGAGCGGAAAGGACCCTCAAACAGGACCACCCCGTTGCTGTAGAGGCTCAGTTGAATAGGATCCTTCTTTGCCAAATGTGCCCCTGTGGCTGTCGATTGCACAAAACACTCTCCCTCCCCCGCGAGGACGTTCAGCTCCCTGATCCTCTGCAGCACGAGGTCAAAGTTCATGTGGAAGCTCCTGACCTCGGAGGGGTCTGCACAGGACAGATACCCAGTTAGGAACCATTTTAGGTAGAAGATAATGGTGAATATGTTTGTGGAAAGCTTGAAGCGTATGAAGAAGAGTGGAGGTGGAAACTACCTGGCTGCCAGAGGCCTCGCTCTGCATTATATGGCTGCTCACTTTCAGCTGAGTCACTGCTCTCGCCGTCTCCCACCCAGATCAAACCGTAGTCATTTAGAAAGCTCTGTAAGATATTAATCGGCAGGATTCAGAGCGGTGCAATCACAATGTAAACACATGAATGAAATGTTTTATTAAATCAACTTACCTCCATTTCACACACTTGACTCTGGAGGTGTTGGCACCTTCTTTCAAGATCGTCTCTACCACTCAGATCATTTGTGCTCCCTAAACACACACACACACACACAGACAGAGAGAGAAAAGATACAGCCATCAAACCCTTTTATGTAGAAATATAGAGAATATATCAAACTCAGGTCTGGAGATGTTACCAGATTCTTTCAGAAGCCTCAGTTTTTCCTCCAAGACTGTAATCCTTTTATCCTTTAGAAGAAAATTTAAAGTGAGTTTGACATTAATCATTTTGCTGTTCATCTGGAGGAGGTATGTGTTCATCTGGAGGAGGTGTGTGTTTATCTGGAGGAGGTATGTGTTCATCTGGAGGAGGTGTGTGTTCATCTGGAGGAGGTGTGTGTTCATCTGGAGGAGGTGTGTGTTCACCTTGCGCTCGATCTCCTGTGCTTGGCTCCTCACTGTTTTCTCCAGCAGGGTCACCCGCTGCATCATGGCAGACATGAGCTCAAAGTCGCTTGGTGGAGCACCTGAATATCAGTAAGTACATAGAAGCATCCTTTGCACTCTTAAACATATATTTTTTAATATATTAAATGATTAGATTTAGGCTAGATATTCAGGTTGTTCAGCAACACGAAGATATATTTGGCTTTGGAATAAACTAAAATAAATAACTTATACCTTTCTTTAATGGGACTTTTGACTTTGAAGTGGAGGCGTCGTTGGCTCGAGTGTGAGAGGTCAGGAGAGGATGTGGATCAGAGGATTTATCATCCTCGTCAGTCAGGCCTGCCTGAATTTCTGAAAACAAACACAACAAATGTGTGTAAAGGATTAAGAAAAGAACACATATTCATGGTTTACCTGTAGGGGGGAGCAGTTTGATATTTATAGTAGAAATCAGTTTGAGTAGCCTGATAAGTACAATAGTATAATTGTACTTTACTTGTATTATCTTTTAATGCCACCTTTTACTCCACTACAACTATTTGACAGGTAGGCCGACTGTACAAATAAAGAGCTTATACAATATGATTATCTATTAAACTATTCAACAATATACACAATTAGATCTGAAACAATTAGTTGAGTTTAGTTAAATTAGTTAGTTGATTAGTTGGTCAATTGACAGAAACTATTTTGATAATTTTATGGTTCCAGCTTGTCATATGTGAGGATTTGCTGCTGTTCCCTTGACATTATTATATTTTATTTATTTTTGTCCAATAGTTGGACACAACTGGAAATGTCCAACAATAAAATCCTGCTTTTACCTTAATGCAAGAGTAATAACAATCTAATGATATAATACAGTCGACTGTTTCTGCATTAAATACTTTTACTTTAATACTTTAAGTTCATTTTCCTGAATGTACTTACATAACAGTTACTTAACATTTTCAAAGCAGGACTTATACTTGTAATGCATTATTTTTACAGTGTGATATTAGTACTTTTCCTCCACCATTGTTGATAACTGTTGTTTTAGTCACCTGTCAGTGCAGTGTAATGCCTTTATGTTTAGTGATTTGACAAGCAACCCACCTTTTAACAGATTTCTCCTGAAAGGCACCTTTGGCCTGCCCCTGCAGGTCAAAGACAGTTGAATGTAATGTATTATGAATAATGTATGTTGCCTGCACAGTACAGTTAACATTGGGATATTCCCCAGTCAGTCACCTACCCTTGCTCACTCTGAGGGTCCAGCAGGGGAGTGCGCCTCGTTTTCTTCAGCATGGACAAAGGGGAGCTCATCTTACCTGAGGTGTCCCACTCTGGGTCCAGTACAGGCCTGTTCAGAGGGATTTCCCGAGTTTCTTTGAGTTTGTTTGGAGTCTGTTGCCATTAGCAACGCAGGAGCAGTTGATCCAGAGGAATGAGGCCTGCGTCGTCTGTTTCAACCGCAGGAGGTCGCTGTTTCTACCTCTCTCCTCTCTCTCTCTCTCTCTCTCTCTCTCTCTCTCTCTCTCTGTTAGAGTGTATTATTAAATTAAACTTATAAAGCTATTTTGATTTTTTATGACTGCCATGCGACTTTTATTGTTGTTATTGCAAGTAGTAAGCAAAAGAACAAGACATAAAGAACAATTTTAATGTGACCAACTGAATAAATTAATAAGGATGTAGTCTGTGTGTGTATTTTAATTGGTTTTGAAAAATGATACCGATATCCAAACTCCCATTGAGTGTAAAATGCTGTCACCGTGCTTTCGTGATCTACTGGTTTGGTTACTGACTGTGCCACATTGATCCAGTCCCTTGCAGCCGCAGAGGGTCCGGTGCGGTGCAGCCATACTGTCCGCCCCAGCCTCGCTCTCTGTGGGAAGTGAGCGGGCATTCAGAGAGGATGCTGAGGCCTGCCAGTCCCGCAACACAACCACCCTCAACCCGGGGCTACTAGGCTGGTCCGGGCTATGGCTGCACCCATCGCACATTTCGATGAAGACTGGCCGATTGTGGGTGATTTGAGCATGGTGTCCGACCAGAGGCTGCTGCCGCACAAAGGCCGTGCAGCCTCCGCGGGGGAAGCGGCGGCGACGCAGCTCCTCCCGGATGGTGAGGATGATATCCCCGAGCTGCACGACAGCAGCTTCTCCCCGGGGGAAACCGGTGCTTTCAAGTCCATGGAGGACCTGGTGACCGATTTTGAGGAGAAGTTGTCCTCCTGCTTTCACAATTATAATGCCAGGACGGAAAGTATCGCTCCTGTGAGTGAGATCACCGAGGACTGTCTGCTGGACAAAGACGAGTGAGTGTTTGTGTGTGTGTGTGTGTGTGTGTGTGTGTGTGTGTGTGTGTGTGTGTGTGTGGCCTGCTTGTTTTAAATGATGGAGGATTTAGCTCACTGCGGTTTATAACCACACTGAGACATGTTATTTGCAGTGGCACATCTCATCTTCCTGATCTGGAAGCCAACATTTCTTAGAGAGCGATACATTGTCTATTGAAGGATATAATGACAGTTACACACACACACACACACACACACACACACACACACACACACACCGCCACCATCTTTTGTCGTCAAAACTCAGACCAAACGAATGTTTACCCGCTGTAATATCAGACGATTGACATGTAGGTTAAATCATTTACACTCTGATATCGGCATTATATCGGTATCTGCCCCTAAATGGCTTTAAAAAACTGATATTGGCCCATCTGAGTGGACCGACAAGTCATGTTTTTGTTTTTAGAGCCGATACTTGAAATCTGCACTTTTAGAATTTTTTTTACTTGGATCACTTTTATTGTAGATCCATATTGTGTTTGTTTCATATTGTATCTGATCGTAATGGATATTGTTATTGCACAAATACTTAATTAATGAATATTATGATTATTTAGAGCTCAGTCCATTAATCAATTAAGTTAGTTGATCATGTATCAGGTAAAAGCTTCTCAAATGTAGGAATTTTTCCCTCAGTTTTAGATAATTGTAAATTAAACTTTTGGATTTGGGACTGTTGGTTGGACTAAAGCCATTTGAAGATGGGCTCTGGTATCATGATGGGCAATTTGTTACAGTTCTTTGGTATTTTGTAGACTTATTTAATAGTACCTGAATCTAGAAAATAATAAGCGGATTAATCAATAATGAAAATAATTGTAAAATCATTTTAATGTAAAATTATCCACATTTACTCAGTATTATGTGTCTGTCAGTATCAATAGACTAAATGCAATGTTTTAAACCCTCATATTAGCACATTACAAAGACATTTAATGTGTTTAGTTGACAAACAGTTTGAAAAAAAGTCTCATTAAGATATGAGACATTGTGATGAGCACTAAACATGACTTCAGTGTTGCATTCAAATGTGGTGCCTTCAAATGTCATCATCGATGGCATTTTCAACTTGATAAACTCTGTTGGGGATTATATTTTCAACCTCCGCATCAAAACAGTTTAATCTGATTGTGACATTTGTGGATGTGATTTCTAAAAGTGTCTCTGCGGCGCCCTTGTACATACAGTCATTACCACTGCCCCTGCTACAAATGTGGGTTTGTTTTCTACAAGTTGTTGTTAGTAAAGTACTCCCAGCAGTACTGCAGTTAAGGAAGGGTTGAGGGTGCCCTTGTACTCTATAAGACACATACTGAATACAGCAACATCCCTGGTTTGATCCCAGTTAAGGACCTTTGTTGCATGCTATTCCCCGCTGTCTCTCTCCTCACATTTTCTGTATTTGTTGTTGCTATTGAATAATGATGAAAATGGCTAATAAAGCAATCTTTTAAACAAAGGAATGGTAAAAATTGGTGACATGGAGGCTAAGATATCCTAGTTTTTAGTCCCTATGTGGGTCAAACAAAATACAATTCAATAGCACGCTTTGTTAGACTTGCTGGTAAATGCTCATGTCTTGAGGTCTTCTCTTAAAGTTTCTGAATCCTGAAGGTAATTTTAGACATTAAACTTTCATTAATTTATTTCCTTCCTCCACAGAATCTGGAACACTCTGACCAATAACTATGGGCGCGTGATGCCTGTGGACTGGAAACAGTCTCGAACATGCTCCCTACACATCCCCACATTCAACCTGGAGGAGAAACCCGTGAGTGATCCTACCCCTCCCATCCTATCTCTGTCCCACTTTTCCATCAACCCCTTCCCTCCCTCCCTCCCCCTCCCTCCCCAAATCTCTCTTTTCCGTTCATCTCACAAATCTCAAATATTCATTGTGCCAGGGTTTAGCGCTCTGATTAAATTCCCTCCCCCTGTTCTGCTCCTGGCTAGAGAAAGACTGATGTCACCGTGGAGCTGTCGGATGACGAGGAGCTGAGGGAGCAGCTGGACATGCACTCCATCATCGTCTCCAGCCTTGCAGAGGAGCCACTTTTCACGGCAGAGCAGGTAAACTTACACGTGAACCTCCAGTGTAGTTTCTCCCTGATGCAGCCGCACTGTGTCTGTGAAGGCAGAGCAGCAGCTTAACTCCCTCTGTTTCCCACAGAGATTTAATAAGTGATGTTCACTGGGTTATTTTAAGTGCTGCTTCTCTCTGATGTGTGCATTGGTGCTCTGTGCAGGTTATTGAGGAGATAGAGGAGATGATGCAGGACTCCCCTGACATGGAGGCAGCCCACAATCCCTCTCAGTCGGACCTCTCGATGCTCTCCCTGGACGTCCAGCGGTCCACCAGCAGCCCCAGCTACGAGAAGAGTGAGTGTCCACTGATTGGGACAAATAATCAGTAATATGTCCTGTTTCTCTTACGATATGTTCTTGATAAAGTCTTTTAAGAATGCTTAAAAAAGTGAGATTCAGTCCAAGTTTCCTCAATTCAAAGGATTAAAGGGTAATTCTGGTTATTCTTGAATGATTCCCATTAAAAGACCAAAAGTAACAATGAACTGCTCCCACAGACAAGTGTCATCTGTGTAACAAAAACACATTAATGAGCCGAACCGTCGCAGTGGGTGATATGTTCCTTCATTACAATGAACGATGGGAACAATACTCACTAGAGCACCAACTGTGTATAAATCCGCCCCTGAGGATAGTTTTCAATTTGATTGAAAGATCCACCTTTTACATCAGATCTATCTAATCTGGAAACATGCTTTTGTCTACAAAATAGATAACGTACTAAAATGTAGTATAATGATTTATTATTATTATTATTATTATTCCTGCATTTTGACTTTTGAAGGAACAGTTTCCTCTTACATTATTTGTGATTTATCCAGATATATCACACAGTAGCTGATTGTTATTACAGTGTAATAAATCTAATATAATTTAGGGTCCATATACTAGCTGCATCTCACAGTCTTCAGTCGTGGTCTCATAACCTGGTGTCATAAGTTACCCTGTGACCTTCTGATCGGTCCATGAGTAAAAGGCTGATGAATGAAGGCTCAAAGGTTTTTTATGTGTGTGTTTGTGGTACAGGGGTGAGGAGCCTAAGTGTCGCAGAGCTGAATGAACGTCTGGAGGAGACGGAAACAAACATCAGGAGGTTCTCAGAGGAGCTGGTGCAGCAGCTGGCTCTCAGAGATGAGCTGGACTTTGAGAAGGAGGTGAAGAACAGCTTCATCTCTGCGCTCATCGACGTGCAGAACCGACAGAAGGAGCACCGCGAGCTGCTGAAAAAGAAGAAGAAGCTTAAAAGTGGAGCCGGGACGTCGCAGGGCCACGTTGAGAAGACACTTGGATCAGTGAGTGCTCTGTTCTGAGGAAACCAGCCTGGTTTATGTGTGTTGATGTCTTAGATAGGATAGGATCTTTCTTTTCTCCACTGTTTCTCAATTTCTTGCTGAATTTCACTTGATTTTCCAACAAACTGTATTTTCCAGAAATCTTTTCCCATCTCTTCCTCCCCTCCTTGTCTTATGTTTCTCTGCTTTACTTCCTTCCTCCTCAGCGTTTCAGCATGGAGGGACTCTCCTCAGTCATTCAGAACAGCTTCCGGCATACATTTGGGAGTGGGTGCATTGAAAGACAGGTTACTTTGTTATTTCTCTCTCAGCTGCTGCACTTAAACTTTCTGGTTTCTGCGTGGAAGGAAGGTCATCCCTGTCTTTATCTCTTTCTTTATGCTGGTTTGCAGTACTTGACCACAGTCATCCCTTACGAGAAAAAAGGACACCCTCCTTCGCTTGAGGACCTCCAGATCCTGACTAAGAGTAAGTTTCTTCATCTGTACCAGCAGTGCTTTATTTTTAGTGGCTGTGCTTGATCCACTCACTCCTCTGGTGTAACTGGTGTTTTTCAGTTCTACAAGCTATGAGAGACGACAGTGACAAGGTGCCCAGTCTCTTAACAGACTATATTCTCAAAGGTGAGTTTTTCTCTTCATTGTTTACAGTCTGTAGACGTTTGTGATATGTTGGCAGTGTGTATCAGTGAATCAATTTCACACAAAGCAAATGATCAATGACTTATCAATTGTGACTGAACTAGTGGCGTAAAGTTAAAGAACTACTAAAGTTGTTTTGCATGTTACAGTCCATTTACTATAAATTAATAGTAAGTAAATGCTTAAAGCGTCAACATTTTGTCTTGACTCTAGCGTGGTAGTGTTTCCACCTTCTCGTTTCACTGATTTCAATATTGTATTATATCATATTACCACATATAGTTGTTGTGTTGTTTAGATTTTATTTGCTACACTGGTTTCAGTTCATTATAAAATCATCTTGAAGACTTGATATACACAGTCCATCAGTGTGAATATGTCTTTTTGGTCAAGATACATTGCTGTTGCTTGGTATTGCAGTTGAGAGCAAGTAGTACTACTACTTATGATTCATATCGGTGTGTTGAAGGACACACAAATAACAGCTGACTGCAACAAAGCATTGCATTTACAATGTTGCATTGTTGGAAAATCATTTGTAAATGACAAACAATAAGCAAATATTCAGTTTGTGAAAAACTAAATAAAAATCTGGTAGCTGACTATGAGTTCTCAAAAGTTGCAGTTCCCGTGTGTAACTGCACTACAATGCAGCGGTAAATGAAAAACTTCATGTTTAGCAAGTTTTAACTGCAAATTGACTTTCACACTGTACTGAAATCAGTCACCAGCTGTCACCATCCAGTATAATAGGCTATACCTCCTTTCACACGTTCTGTTTTCATTCTTTCATGTTTTCTTTCTCTACTTCTTATGATCTAATTTGTTGCTGCCTTAGCTCTGGTGTAAGCGACGGATGGAGAGGTTTGTGACACATTCATGTGATGTGCACTGTTGTGGTGTTGCCACTCACATTGGGAGAGCGCCCCCTCTCTACCACCGGGCTATAGTGCAGTCTGGCCCCCTGATGTTCTCCTTTTCACGTCTCCCCTCTCCCACGCAGTGACTGACTGCAGCATGGTTGATCCCTCTTACTGTCAGTGACTCACTGCCACACACATTACATTTTTATTTATCTATTTACCCTGCAGTTAACATTTAGGACACTGTTTTGTGATTATTAGTTATCTAGCACCGCCCAGACTGCAGGTATTTATCCTCACCCACCCAATGTCAGAAATAGGTTTGTGTTTTAATTTTCAGATATTTATCACTAACTTGTGTGTTAAAATTGACCCTTTTTCCTTTTGTTTTTCCTTGTCTTTATGTCCAACTTTGTATTTTGTACTAATCCACTCATGCTGAAGCTTTATTCCTGATCAGTCATATCTAATATTAATCTCTACTGTTTTTACAGTGCTTTGCCCAACGTAGACCAAGGGATGGTGCCTAACACTCAGAGGCTTCAGATAGTTTACCATGGCAACAAGATGAAGAGGACCCATTGTGTTTTTTTTTCAGACATGAAGCACACTTAATTTATTCCTGCATGTTTTTTTCCTCAAGATGTGTCTTTTTTGTGTTCTACTCTTCATTTAGTTGTATTTATTTTGTGTTGTGATTTTGCAAAAAATGTGTGTTAGTGTGAAATTTGACTTACTCTTCGTGTTTTTAATTTTCTTGAACTATGAAAGAGTATCCTAAAAATGCTAAATTATATGAGAAATACACCCAGATAGATGTACCAGCATAGGAGCTGCACTGTTTGGAAACTGAGCTTCGCTTGTTGGTTGTAAGTAAGAGCATATACACATACAAAGAGTTTGTGAAGCATCAAAACTGTTAACAAAAGAGTAAAATAAGATTAAAAAAAGATTTTAGTTTTACAGCAGCACACGAGAAAGATCAGAGGTGTAAGATAAAGAAACAAATAAATGCGTTAGTTACCTTGTGCATAAACATAAGTGCATAAACCATCATATAATTCAACACAGCTTTCCATGTAGCAGCAGATAAACTGTGCTATCTGTGTTCATCTCAGCAGAACAATAAATACATCATTATTATTACACTGTGGAAGAGAAAGAGTTGATGGTCAAGGTGATGAGGTCTGGACTGAAATTAACTAATTAACTATGCATTTGAGTGAATACTGAATTGTGACCCATGCACTGTTTGTACCTTTGTGACGCTGACTGGAACTCTGGATCAGAGACTGCAGCATCGACGTGCCTGCTGTGCACACCATGAATGGGCATTATTAATCTGTATTCTTGTATATGAACAAGCTGCCTTTGCCTTTGCCTTTGCCTGAACTTTTGTACATTATAAATGACTTATTTTCATTGAATGTCGAATTGCTGGACTACTTACAGAACCTGCTTCATTGTTAATTTATTTTGTAAATATTTTATTTCAAATATATTGATAAAACCACACCCGCTTTGCCTCAGTGTGTTTTATTCATTTTATAATCGACACACAAACAATAAACTCGCAATGATGACAATTAGACAACATCATCAACAACAAAAACAGGCCTAATCAATGCCTTGTAACAGGAATGTTTATCATCTTACAGCCATTATATAGTGCAAATAATTAGCAAATGAAAGAAGTGGCTTTAAAAAAGTAAGGCACCATTTTATAAATACATTTTAAAAATCTGAAAATAATAAAATATATAATACCAATAAAACAAAAAAACAATGTTGTTTCATTTAATTTTCTATTACTTCTTTGACCTTCTCCCTGCAAATAATTACTAATTGTCTGTGGTAAGTGAGTTATAAAAGAAAGGATCCTAATATTTTATTATGTTATATGTTAACAGTAGGAGCCATTCCAATCTTATATATTTCCTGGTAGCAAGCTTTACCCATATGTTTAAATTCAGATGTATTTAGGTCTAATGAGGAAAAGGGAGGGATGAACATTTATAGTATGCTGGGAAAACTGAAATAATTCCAACCGCGATTTAATTACAAGACCTAAAATTACATATACAGGAGACAGGGTGTACTATGAGAGTCCTGGGGGTCTTTATCGCATCACTTTAATGTGTTATTTGGCTGTGAGGTTTCTGTATTCAGAGACTGAAATCAGGCATCACTGAACATTTAGAGACACAAACAGCTTTCTCCTTGTTGGCAGAGGTCACTGAAATCTCAAGTGAGGACTTACAAAAAAGACATGAAACACAAACAAATATAAAATTCCCAACAGTATTTCCACATTATATAAGTCTCTGCCACGTGTCTACTGCATCCCGTCCAGCTCACTGAGGAGATCCAGATGTGGGCTGTGGGACAAATCCCAAAATATCCAACCTCTGGCCTGTTAGAGCCCTCAGCAGAAACACAACAGGCCCCCTTTTGACAGGAAAAAGGCACGGTTCAATTAGCAAGCAGCTATGAAAAGGCACTTACAAAACTGTTTGTAGCTTAATATTTGTTGCTATAAAGTGGCACAGAAAGATGCAGATACTGGATAAAAAAATGAAGCAGGCCCATTTAAATTCTGTTTGTGTAATAAATGTGACACAACACACACTTAATAGGCACACACATACACTCATACTCACACAAACAACACAGACAGACAGACGGACAGATTATTGGTAACCTACAAACATGTGGAACCCAAGTCATGCTTGTCTGAATGCTGCTTAACTCCTGCTCACCATCCATCTCCCTTCAGCATTTCAAAAGCAACACAAACGGCTGTTAAACATCTGTAAAACATTTGTTCTCTCTGAGATAAGATTTCCTCACTCACTCCGGGCGGGTAAAACACAAGCAGTCTGGCCAGCGCTCAGAGCTGCGAGGAGCTTTTTGTGGTGCTGCACCAAAAACAAGTTTCTTTACGGTGGATTTTAAGTGTTTTTCCAAGTATTATGGATGCTAGAGGGGTTTGCTTGATGTTTTGCCTTCTCCTGCTGGCACACTGCTCGTCCCAGCAGACCTCCTCCAAGAAAAGAAATGGCAAGAAAGGTAGGACTTCGATAGTAACTTGACATTTGGAAATGAAAACAATGCCATCACTTGTTAAATCCATGAAAAACTTTTGCAGAATAACAGCGCTGAAGTACTATCAGAGAGTTCATTGGGAATATTGACTGAGTGCATCATGCTTTAGAATAATTTTTTTTGCATTTTGTTTCCAACAGACTCTGCAAACAACGCTGCAATTGAGGAGCTGAGGAAACAGATTAATGACATTGTTCAAGAGCTGAATTTGTTGAAAGAGAATCAAGCTTTACAGACAGGTATTTTTGTTTCTCAAATATCACACAATTAGATTTTGTTTATACATTTTACAGACCAAGCTATATGTAAAATAAAAAAGTCAAGACGGAGTGGCAGACTGTGACCACCGATTTAACATCTTTCCATGGATGGAGAACACAAAATACACCTGAGCCACACTGACTATCTCTTAATTTCCCCCTCAGTTTGTCTGCGAGGCACCAAGGTCCTCGGCAAGTGTTTCCTGGCTGACCCAGTGAAGAAGACCTTCCACACAGCCAGTGATGACTGTATTGCCAAAGGGGGCAGTCTGGCCACTCCTCTGTCAGGAGACGAGAACGACCAGCTCTACAGCTACGTCCGTCAGAGCATCGGCCCAGAGGAGCACATCTGGCTGGGCGTCAATGACATGGTGACCGACGGCCAGTGGGTGGACCAATCGGGCTCCAGCGTGCGGTTCAAGAACTGGGAGACAGAGATCACCCTGCAGCCAGACGGGGGGCGCAGCCAGAACTGTGCCATCCTCTCCACCACAGCCAACGGGAAGTGGTTTGATGAGAGCTGCAGGGCAGAAAAGGCTTCTGTGTGTGAGTTCAACATCGTCTGAGGGCCTATTCCTGACATTAACGTCACTCTGTGCAGATAAACGCTGCTTGCAGTAAAGAATGAAACATGTAGAGTATCGGGTACATTCATGCAATACATTGAAAAATAATGTTCTGCATCTTTCTTAAACTCACATTTTCTTGAGCAAGCCATTCAGGTGTCATTTGACTTCTCACAGCGGTCTGGGATACAGCATGTCATTGTATAAGCTAAACTCACTGAGATAATTTACATTCATTTAACAACTCGTGTTTTCAAAGAATATTAGATATTCATGAAGGTAAACACCACTGGATGGCTTGTCTTTGTTTTATGTATTTTTGTGTCATCTGCTAATGAATGCAATAAACCTTTTTTTATTTACTGAAGAACAACCATTATAAGGGCCTTTTCTGTGGCTCTCTTTCTTTCTTTCTAGCTCTAAATGTCAAGTTATGCTGCCTATTTTGCATTATATAATGTTAATAAACATGTGTCTCATTAAGTCCTTGCTCAAGTCAAACATTCAGCAGATACAATGGGAATTTTTCATCAGAGAGAAACAATGTTTGCTTAAAAAATACTTATGTAACTCATAAAAGAACTTGGCTGCTTCAACTAATAATAATAACGAAACAAACTTGGTTTTAGGTTGCAGGCTTCTTCCCATTTTTTTTTTTTCAACCCCAGTGTGGTTAAAAGGTCACAAGTTCCTTTCCAAAAACACTGAGGAAAGGGTTAACTTGAGCAACTGTATATGAATGATGTGTATTGAGAACTTTTCACAACTTAAGGAAATGTGAACATTAACAGAAAGGTCAGGACTGAGATAACCAATACAATGAGGATGTCAGGTTTTCTTTTTCTTTCTGAAGTGTCACCACTTCAGAAAGTCATGAAAATATATATTATAGTCAGAGAGGAGGATGTACATGGGGCACAGTGTACAGGGAAGATAATGTTTCCTGCTCGTACATTTCTAAAAACATTTCTGCAGAAGAGTCCCCGCTTGATGAGTGCAATGTCTCCACCCACCCACGCTTTTCTTGTCATGAAAACATTAGTTTCTGTACTGCTGCTCTAATTTACCCACCCAAAGAAAGATTACATCAGATCAACATGTTTGGATGTCTCCATGGACATCTGCTGACGTCAGCAGTGTTTTTCTAGTGAGCGCGTCCTCATCTCAGACTCTTTACCTCTCTATGTCAGTCCATCAGAGTATTTATGTTCATATTTTACATGGCTCTTAAAATTAACTTCACATTCAGAGTGCAAAAAAGGGGTGAGAATGTTTTTATGGCAACTTTGAAGTGTCTCCCTCTGCAGTTTATTCTCTGAACTGCAGGAGGTAACATGGCTTTACAAGACAAACACACAATTCATTTATTCATTCAGTCTTTTTCACAAGTTTCATCGTACATCTTGAACCTGATTTTCCTTAAATGAGACCAGATAACATTCTTGCATCTTCTTATAACTAATATCACAATCAATACCTTAACTAGAGATTTTAATATGCTGTGTTGTTATTTTCTATCCCTGTTAATGTACAAACTGTTGAATTTCACATAACAAAATCTGTAACTTAGTTAGGAATTGGTTTGTACCATGACCTTTTACATCTGTTGGTTGCTCCACACTTCACAACAACACACGAGCACTCATTACTTACGTTAAATTATAGGCCCCACACAGCCTGTAATTAATAACACAATTCAGTCAACCAGCAAACATACTGACTTTTTCTTTGTGTGATGTAACTTTTTGCTCACATACTGCAATTAAGTATGTGAGCAATGTGTCATCCTAGTCCAGCAGAAGGGGGTAAAATATAAATAGTAAAATATGGTTTCTGACTTGTGATTTCATTGATACACACGCAGAAAACAAACTCTCTTAGCTAGCAGCAGAAGATTCCCAAAAAGCGTGGGTTCAAAAAAGAACAAAAGCACAACATTTTCATTTATCCCTGGACCAAAATGGCTGAAAACAACTCTAAGATCTGTATTAGCTGAAGTGTATTGACCTTTTTGCAAGGCACATTTATGGTGTAATGATGCTGTACCTACAAGTCTCCATAGCAGGTGCAAAAGCAGTGATAAATAATATAGAGAGAATACTCCATGCACACACACACTGCTGGTGCAATCTCCTGCAATACGGGCCATCATCAGCCCATCATGTTTTGATGGTGCTATAAAAATGCAGTGCATTGCCACAGCAGAGGAGTACTCTCAACAGTTTAAAGATAAAAATGAAAAACTCAGCATGTAAACAGCACACACCTTCGCTCCTGTATAAACATCCATAATATGTACAAAATATCTCAGATGGCAAATATTCACTGCCTAAAAGCTACACAAGATCTCTTTATAGTGGCAAAACCTGGTATAAAGAGGATGATTATGTACTGCCAAACACCAAATGTGCCTTCATCTGAGCTAAAACAAGGTAACAGCTGCAGGCAGGTTTGAGCAGGGTTATTTTGTGTGCCTGGCTTCGGTGCAAAACTATGTTCAAGAGGAAAAAAAAGGCTTCTTGCAAAGGCTGAACATCAGGTAATCACACAGATGCCAGGGAATGATTATCTCGTAGGTCAAGTGAAAAGCAGAAAGCTGAATCCAATCTTCTCATCAGTTTCCTCCCTCTGGCTCCAGCCGCTTGCCCAGGTCCGGGGAACGTTCCTCGTCACTTTGGCCCTCGGTCTGGTAAATCTCATTGTCCATCAGGCGCTCGCCGTGGCTTGGAGGCCTGACGGGAAGTGGAGGACCCTGCTGGAAAGACCCGCGTTGCATGTCGTCATCACCTGCGTTTTTAGGGACCAGCGGCTTTTGTGAGTCTGTTTGTCCCACGAAGGGTCGGTACGTGTCAAACTCTCCGTAGACGCCGATCTCGTTCCCCTTTCTCAGCAGGTGCGTATAGACCAGCGTGTCCTCGATGGAGGCATACTCATGATCATTGTTGTCTTCGTGGGTTGCTGGGAAGCCGTTGGCTCCTGGCAGGAAGCTGGTGCCGTTCGGATTGTAGATGGACACTTGATGATTCAGCCTCTTCTTCTTCTTCCTGTTTGGCAGGAGAGGCAAGACAATGAGAGTTGAGTTATATCTCCTACAAATATCAGTTGACCAGTCAAGACATGAAGTTTATTAAGACAAAGCTTAAGCATCAAATAATACAATTTAAAAGGATAAAACATAAAGCAGATGCACTTACCTAACCACTACACAGATCACTACTAGCACAACAACAAAAATGACCAACAGGGTGGCCACCACGCTCAGGATGATAGTCAGCAGACGGTCTGAATGAGACAGAACAAATAAAAAATACAATCTTTTATTAACACTTTCTGTCACAAATCTTCATAATGAAATTTGATATTGTCCATACAAATCCTGAAAGAAAAATCTGAAGCCTTGAGATTTACAAATATTGATTGGCTTCTTATACTTCACAAAAAATAAATTGCTAAACGCTAACGTCAGCATACTAACATGCTCATAATGACAGTTACAACATGCTAAGCAGGTAGTTTACCGCGGTCATCATCTTAGTTTTGTGTGTTAGTGAGTTTGTGTCACCTAAAAATGATACAATTATCCAAAAATATCTGTACCAACTTTAATGGCAATTCATTGAATAGTTGTTGGGATATTTCTGTGGATTTATGTTAAGCATGGCTAAACAGAAATACGACTTAATGTCAGAGTAAATGAAGGTCTCCTAAATATAGGTTGAATAAATGAATGAATAAATAGTAAAAAGCTAAAAAGTACCATGACGCTCTAATCTTAGAGATGATGCCTATGTGATCCATTAACACATCCAGTCCAAAGTCTCCCAGTTTACACAAAACTCTGATGTAAATAATGTATCCTTACTCTTGCTCTTCTGCAGGGTGATCTGGGTGACGACGCTGAATTGTCCTCTTTCAGGCATACAGTTGGACATGTTGAGGTAGAAGCTCTCGGAGACAGTGATCTCAGCGTCGGCCTCCTCGTCCTCCCTGCGGCTGTAGTCCTCCTCCGGGCTGCCGAGCCTCTGCACCCTGATGTTGGTGTGGCGGTTGCTGCACTTGGGCTGGCTGAGGTTGGCAAACATCAGGTGCGCCTCCATCCTCTGGGGAACAGAGACGATCCAGGAGACGGTGGAGTAAGACTTCATTCCTACCGCCCAACCAGGTGTAGCCAAAAGAACAGGAGTGTCTTTCTTTGGAGATACAGTGAATATGTATCTCTCTGGATAGGAATAAAAAGAATATCACTGAAATTATGCATTTATCTCATTTATTTATCTTCCATTCAATTGTAGCTGCTTGTTACCTGATATCTCCTCTTTGAAGATGGCATTCAGCACACTCCTTCCTTTACTCTCCATGCCGGACACAGTTACAGACACGTTGTTGTGGATTTGGACCTTCTCTATGGCTCCCTGAGGACAGAACTGTCCAACAGTAATGCCGTCACTTTCGGCCATTTCGATAACGATGCTGTCGTTGCATGGCTGCAAAGGTAGCAACTGCTTGAGGGGCCCAAGGGGAAAGGTCAGCTCCACAGTACCGTGCTGAGGAGGACGGAGATGCCAGGTCACGTTGCTCAGAGTGGCGGGGAGGCAGTCCGGCAGCTGAGGCGACGACAGACGGACCTGAGTCTTCGGGCAGTCTTTGAGTTGACTGCACCCTGACAAGGAAGCGCAGGTAATTTAAATCAAGAGGGGTTCCGAAATTAGTCTGAATTTCTGTCTTCAGGAACCACAGGTCAGTTCACCAATATTACAAAACTGTATGCATGTAATGCGAAATAGGAGGTGTTAGGAGTGTTAGCTAGTTATAAATAGCCACGCAGTCAAGAGCAAGATCTCTGTCTGGAAACAATGTCTTAGCTGTCTAATAGAAACTAATTTCTAACCAAGAAATTGACCCTAGGAGAACTGCTAACACTGAATTAATAGTGTCACTCTTAATCTGGATCCAGAGAGCAATGCTGCCTGTGAGGACCACAAACAAATTCACATTCACTGCCACTGCTTTCCCTTGGAGGCACTTGACAGATACTTTTCTCAAAACCTGAACAAATTAAACCAAAACTATCTGGATACAAATAAAAAAGTGACACAATGTCTGTACTGTAATTTGGGTGAACCAGTTCTTTAACCTCCCATACTAAATAAAATCTGGTTATTTGGGTCATGCAGAAACCAGTGTAAACGTACAATTGTGAAGTGACAAAACTGGCATCTGCACCACAAGGTTAACTACTAATAAATTAGGTTTCTAATTTTCATTTGGACAGAGACTTTTCAGTTACTTTCAAGGTCTTTTTAGCCAAAAAAAACGATTTGAGGCTTATTTAAAAAGGCCCAGGGAAGCTGCTCAACACTCCAATCTGCATTTACCTATGACTCTCGTGGCGGTGACTTGTACGTCTTCAGGAAGGCAGCCCTGGAAATGCAGGACGCTGTCAGACGTGACTGTGATCCTCTCCTTCGGCTTTTCAGAGTTTATATTCATCTTGCAGTCGGATGCTGGTCTCAGCTTCTCAATGTGAAGAGAAAGACCCTCCATTTGTCTCTTGTACACATTACATGACACTACAGAAAGCAAAAAAAAAAGATGTTAGCATTTCTCTCCCACACACACACACACACACACACACACACACACACACACACACACACACACACACACACACACACACACACACACACACACACACGGCCAAGTGGATTCGAGCGGAAACCAACATCCATCACAAACATGCCCAATGGGAATTTGAATTCTGATTTGGTTGATAAAGCAACGTGATCCCTGGTCGATGAAGGAAGTGTTTCCTGGTGATGTGCCACAGCTGTCATTCATGACTCAGTGATGAGGCAATGTCAGAGCTCCCCTAACATGAATCCTGAGGGGGCAGATAAAGGCTACGAGGCCCACTCTCCACGTCACTGTTTTTATTACTCATTCACACTAAAGCTGTTTCCTAAAGGGAAAACTGTGTCACACCCCAGACTAAACTGAACCCTTGTTATAACATGATATGAAAATGGAAAACTAAAGATTCAAGATAATTTATATTTAGTAATAACATGCCTGCTGCAACACGCACAGTAGAGGAGACATCATTAATCTCTTAAGCTATTTTCTGAACGAATAAAACCTTGTCCAACTCCGAACAATTCTCTGTGTTGCTTGTGTACAAAGACAAAACTGCTGTCATTCAACTGAATAGTTGCAACACAAATCGTATCTATTATACCCCTGAAACAAGACAGTAGAGGTAACTATTACTCATTTGAATTTTAATATTTGACTTAATTTTTTTTTTCCACTTGGCGACAGCAGAACAAGCTGATTTTATCACCTTATAAAGCCGATATGGCAAACAGCTGTGTGTTTACACATCCAGTGGAAACAAAGCAACATTATCATCAATTTGGAGTCGTGCTTCTGCCCATTGTACGAATGAAAGTCCAGTATTCCCTCTTTTTTAGCTCTGGTTTTGAGCTCTACTAACTCCTGAGGGAAATATCTGCTCTTTAGCTACTGAATGATCTACTCTGTTCACCAGCTAGTCGCTAACTTTGTCTCTCTACTGTTTGGAGCTGGGCAGGTAGTTTGTCTGATGTGTGCAAAAATGACCCTGGTGAGAACAGTGAGAGTGAACCAAAACAGCAAACTTGTCGGCTGGAAAACCAAAACAATAAGCTAAAAGATGCTAAAATGCTCCCTAGGTGATGATTCCCTCTGGATTATCCCAAGCAACTACTTTCATATTACACAGTCATTTGATCCATTAGTATTATAGCAGCTTTAAATTTTGGTTGAACACATTTTGACCCTTTAAATCATCCATAGAAATATTCCTAGACTTCACTTAGTTTCACATTTACAGTTAAATATAAACACTACGTTGTTTGAGATCCAGATCAGCACTGAAATCTTAACCTTTCTCTGGCTCAACGTCAATCTTACCACTTTATTTCTTTAATATTTGTGATGTATTAACACAATCTTCAGAGGGCCAAATACATAACCATCTTGGCAGAGATAAAACGTTAAAACTGTGATGCAATTCAAACCAATCGGCAGCATCAAGCGCAGATGATGTACAGACCTGATGAACTTGAAGAAGACACCCTGAGCTTCAGTGATAGTCCAGGAGAACCAGCCTGACTTCTGTTCATCTCGCAGTTCCTCAGCATCACGGAGAAGCTTCCAAGCAACTGCTCTGGCTGGGGGTCTGTCAGCCTCAGCACCGATGCCACTCTCGCTTTGATGTGGTACTCCACTGCTGTGTCCTTCTTCAGACAACGCGGCTCTCTGAGCTTTAAGAGCTGAAGAGCTGTCTTGTGTTTGTCCGGGACCTGAAAGTACCACTCCATCACGTCATCATCGGGAAAACTGTCCGGGTAGTTTGGAGAGAGCAAGTCTGAGGACGAGGACCCTTTTGGTAACGTCAGTGTAACTTTGGCAAGGGCTACAAGAGACAAAAAGACACAAACAACAGTCAAATAATGATGTCTGACACACATACGAGTTATTCAGACCGCAACATTTACACTCACATTTGATTTCCTCCCCGACAGACACATCAAACTGGCCATTTTGCAGCTTCTGTCCTGCCGGGACATCCAGAGAAAAGCTGCCTTGATTCAGTATCTGAGCACTACTGATGGGTCCCGTTCCGCAGTATTTCCCTACAGTCACATTCCCTGTCGTCTGGAAGGCCTTGAGGGTGTAGCTGTGTCTGTCTGGACAACTCTCCGAAACATTAATCTGTCTCAGACCTGCCTTCCTGAAGTCTATTTTGAATGCTTTAGGCGCTGAGGCCTTCAGGTTCCAGATGAACTTGCGGTTAAAAGCCAGCAAAGGCAGTGAGCCAGAGTCCTTCTGGATGATGTGGCTGTTGCAGGACTTTGTGGTACATTCTGAGTAGAGATATTAACAGATGACTTAATAATAAGATAAACATTCAAATAACACCTTTTATTTTTCACTCAGAGAGACTGCTTACTGATATGTTGCACAATTTCCACACTGAACACATTTTCAGCTCTGGGGCATTCAAACTCCACTGAGACAGGAGTGTTGTCTTTCAGCTGAAGGGATGTTTGACATCGCCGTGAGCTTCGTGCCCCAGTGCACACTTTGCAACCTTTGACCTGATTAGTGCTGATGGTGATGGTGGTGCCTCTGTCAGGGGTGACGGTCAGCTTCTGGGCCCCTGGAGGAAAGAATACAAAGCATGAACATTTTATGAAGAGAAAAGGGAGAAATAACACAATGAAATCACCACTTCAGAGCATGAATAAGTCTTGCTACATGTTAAATATAAGATTGTATTCACTGTTAGCAGAGTCAGAATGACTATCTGTGAGGCATACAGCTTGGCCTCACTCCCTCTATGACTAACCAGGCCTGTACTGAGCAAACAGAGCTTCACACACAGCCTAATGTCAGCTCTCTATTGTGTCACACATCATTCTACTACACTGTATTATTTCTCTTTCTATATGTGTATATGTTCCTGAAGTGCACAAAGCAGACAACCTATCGGCTGACACATGACACATCAGATCATTTTGGTTTCAGTTAGTGAGAACCAACAAAACCTGAAACAACTTAAACTATATAGTTCTCCTGCCATTGTTGTTCTTATCCTGATCCTGCCTTACAACTCCATTTACTCTGACCAAACTAATCAATACACTCATTTAAGTCATTCAGGTAGCAATAATTTCATCAACAAGCCACATCAGCAGTAAACAGCACAACAATAAACAGCCTAGAAATACTATGTGCTATATTTTGAGGAACAACCAGTATCAATATCTAAACAGCAGCATTAAATAAGTAAATCTGTCCCTCTGGTTAATGATTAAGCTGTAACTTACCTGATACAGTGAAGGCGATGGCTGTGAGAAGTAAAATCTGGAGAGAGACTGTTGATGAGGACATGCTGCCCTACAGTGTAGTTCTACCACTTTGATCCTGAGAGAAATCAGAGGAGATCTGCGCACATTTCATTGCTTCTCGTCAACATCTGCGACCCTCATGCGCCACATTTTCCTCTCGTGAAGCTCAGGTCGTAGCTGTTGAGACGCAAGCCCTCCACTTCCTGTCTGTGTGAGTGTGTGAGCAGTGAGGCAGAGTGCAAGGAGCAGCAGGTAATGTGAGGGCGTGGCCAGGTCGGCCATTTTGACAGGTACAGTATGCGCTGTAACGTCCGTGATTTAAATGATACAAGTTAAAAAACGTATATCACTCAGGTTATTTTTTTTTGCTAAATAAAATTGATACATAGTTATTTACAATTAGAAATACAAGTAACGTTTGAAAATGCCCAATAAAGCACATACTATTATATTCATTCCAGCCTCCACACCATATGAAATATTATAGCGCCGTAAGGTCAGCATGAGCTATATATTTTCTAAAGTAATTTCTCTTTATTGATATTATATAATATACCAATGCAGTCTTATGCAACAGCCCTGCAATAAATCCTCCCTTCATGAAAATTATAATGTTGTGGATTCAGCTGTGTGATCATATTGGAAGATGTAGTTTGTGCTGCTGTTTAACTGTGTTGTCTTATGCAGACAGGTGTTTCTGTTATTTTGTCCACCCCACTTCAAACCTTCATGAAGTGAGGATTTATTGCAGGGCTCTTGTATCAGACTGCATCAGATTTAACAAGATGTATAATAAACTGGCAACTGGGAGTATTTCCCCCATAGGAGTAAAAGGATAAATGTCTGTTAAAAGATTGTTTTTACAGGCTGATTGATAATGTTATCTTTAAGGCGTGCTGAGTCTGTCTGAATTTGTCGTCATCACAAACTGATCAGTCAGTTTGTTGATGGATCAGGCCACATAACATGCACTGACACACATTTACACCAGTATGTCCTGCTCACATATTTTAAAAAAGGGCAGGTTGTACGTGGTGAAAACAACAGATTACTGTACTAATAACCATTTGTAAGAGATGAAGAGTAATTCTCCTAATCCTTATCTACAGAGCACACAATAGACAGGAGGGGCAGGGAGGTGACCTGACCCTGGCAGAGTTAGCTAATAGCCTTTATTTTACTCTGGCAGAATGATGAGCTTTTAGGAATTGCTGTACATTAAATTATCCAACAGTAAAGCATATAAAGTTACACTACCTGAACCAGCTACAATATTAAAATGCTGCTCCAAATGAGTACTTTTACTTTGAGATATATATATATATATATACACTATCAAATATCAAAGTAAAAGTACTCTGATAATTCCATATCTTCACTTAGGTAAAGGAAATTTGGAGAAGGCCACATGTAGGCTTTAATTAAAGCTGTCGGGCTTTTATACAATGTATCGTGAGATAATATAAAATCCGTGCCAGCAGACTCTTGATACACATTTCTGGAGCAAGCATGGTCTTATGAGGCAGTTGCTGCATTTAGTCACGGTCACATTTAATTAATAACAAGTAGAACATAATCAGTGACAGATGCCCTTCTGGTCATGATCATATGTTCAACATTGTGATCATTTTTGAGGCTGCAGTTTATGGAGCTGTGACTATTATTTTGTTCATTACATTTCTATCAATGAGGAACAACTCTGTACATAATGCAAAACCATTAAACAGCACCACAAACTGTTGCATTAGGCTGCATTATGTTTAGCTTTAGGTGTAATATAAAATGGGAAACTGAGTGTGTCTCTTAAAGACTCTGACAGCGTTGGCTCAGATCCTTTCCCCCTTTGGATCACATGCTGTGTTCACTTAAAATAAGTCTGAAGCAAATTGATTTAGGCTACAGAGACCAGGTCAGAATCTGAGTTATAGCCTATAATCAATTTTATTTTCATTTAAACCGTTGTAACATGAATACAAATAAGCACGCATATTGAACTTGACATTATAAATCTAACAATATAAATATTGAAACCCTTTCAGTCAGTCATAAACAACATCTATTTTTCAGAGTGTATTGGAAAAAAAAACTATCAGCCTACATTTACTTTGAACATGACTATAGGTTATATATGTGACGGCACACTTTAAAGTTCAGATTTCAGTGCAAAAGTCCTACACATGGGATAAGGCAAAAACTTTCTAGAAATATTAAAAACTATACAAACACTGTTTAAAGAGAAAAGTTTGCACAGTTGACGCTAACATAATCTATAGGAAGGCCTACAAGGGTATACAAAACACATTGGTGTTGGTCCCAGTATAGATTACTATTGGCTAGTATAATCCATCATACTTTACCTTGGTTGTCCTAATGAGGAGGAGGAGGTCTAATAACATCCAAAACTAAAGCATTTGATCAAAAAGTTCTCCAAAGCTCCGCACTCATTCATTCAGGTGAACAGTTGAATGGCTACAATTAGAGTATAGGCAGCACAGGCTAATTATAGTAAAGATTATTTCAATTATCTCGGTCTCCTCTGCTCCATCCCATTGGGCAGAAATCCTGCAATGATCGGGACCGGCCATATGAGAGCAGCAACGCTCCACACAATAATGACCAAAGTCATGAAACAAGCCACAAGTGTCGACTCGATGGGCTTTCTGTTCAGCCTCCAACTTTTGTCCCCCTTCAGCTCGTCGAGGCTGAAATCCACGCAGCAGAAAGTGACCTGATCCCCGGTCTGCTGGCCCCTCGACCTGCCCTGACCAAACCTCCGGTACCGGGACATCCCGCAGCCCACGCACAGCCGCAGCTCCTGCTGACCCCCGGTGACCCCGAGATGTTCGATGACGACGGGCGAGATCGCCCTGTTGAAAGACGCGGAGAAAAAAGCCCTTCCGTGGTTGTTGGTGGTGTAGATGAGCACATCACACTGGAAGCCGAAGCTGCTGTCCCAGCGGGCCACCAGCGAGGTGGGCAGGAGTCTCTGGACGCTCACGTTGCACTGGGACAGAGTCTGCAGGGACGCGGCGTCGGGCGAGGCTTCGCTCTCCTCCACGGACCTCTTGGAGAAGCGCACGTCCACCTCCAGGTTGGCCAGGAACCTGTTGGAGGAGTTGATGGGCGGCAGGAGGAGGTCTTCGTCGCTCCAGCCTTGGCATCGCTGGAGAAGTCCGGCCACCGCGGTCAGAGCCAGCAGGAGAGTCGGAGAGTCGTTCAGCATGGCACAGGGCGCGTCTCTCCTGCTCGCATGGTGCTGTGAAGATCCGCGGGCGACGGATGAGGCGTGCAATGTTTCAAGATACCAGTCGCCGGTGATTTTTTTTTTTTGTTGATTTTTTTTCTTAAAAACGCAGCTCCCGATGGAGAGATCCAATTCCCTGCCCGACTGGTACAAATGGAAACGTCCAAAGCCTGTCACATGCGCGCATCCCCCCTCCCTCTGGATGTTTCCCTTCTGACTTGTTCTCCAAATGTACCCTGCAGTCGCTGTGCAGGAGACGCAGGCTGAGCAGCACTGTGAGCTGCCTTCATCACAGCTCCGAGCTTCTCTACCCCCCCTCTGTCACTCCAGGTGTGAGCGCCGAGCACGAAAACACAGAGGAGTGGTGAGGGGGGAGCCTCCAGTGCGCAGGGACAGAAGCGCCGAGTTCAACACACATCTCCCAATCAGCAGTCCTAACACACACACACACACACACACACACACACACACACACACACACACACACACACACACACACACACGCTCAATTAAACTTTCCCAATGGAAAGAAATAAAAGAAAATGATTTGGAAAACAATACCCAGTCTTAGTCTGGCACTCTCTGCTGTTCTGGGAGGCTGACTTCTCTCTCCCAGCATGAAAAAAGAGGACAAAGCAAACAAAAATAAGTGGTACTCAGACAGCCTGTAGAGAACAACTTGTGGCACTGTGCATCCTGGTCGTGTTTATCAAGTGGCCTCGTTTTTAGAGTTAAGTTGCTATCTCAGAGTTTTTTCATATCTTTGTTCCCAACTGAGTTATATCTTCTGTAATTAATTCTGCCATCATTAAGTTCTAAATGCTATTTCAAACTGTTCTCTGCACTACCAGGATAATACATAATCAGCGTTATTCACTTCACCTGTCAGTGCTCATAATTATATGGCTTAGTTATAATTATATATCAGTGTACAAGGGTGGTATTAGAAACCAATCAGTTGTTTGATTTCCAAATATTCAGACATTGTTTTGCCTTTTTTCATTGAATTTAAGCCTATTATTTTGACCATAACAGATCATTAAATGAAGTTCTGTTTTTTATCACATTTTAAAAATGAATCTAAATTAATGTGTTAAATCTGACCTAAAACTGGAGTGGCCAGGCATTTTTTAGGGATCTGTCTAGATCTGTCTTGTAAATCAGCCAAATTTAATACCTACTTTCATAATTGTAAAACACCACATCTCGCTAAAACAGGGCATGGTGGGTGCTACAGCCCTGGATACAAGCTATAAGGAAACAGATATGAAGTATTTTCATGCTGAAATTTAAGTTTAATACATTGTGTACATTTTGGGTATCACTTAATTTGTATAACCCTCCTACAGATAGTTTATAGAGTATTTGTAACATTTCCTTTGTCAATATTTATAACCAATTATCTCTAGAGTTTAACAGTTCATGAAGCAAATCTAACCAAATCTTTATTTGTTTATTGTTGAATCTCAACTAATAAGTTGTTGAAATGTTACAAATACTATCTGTAGGCGGAATATCCAATTAAAGTGGAACCACATTTTGTATTTTTATGTAAATGTCATGCTTTGACGTCCCTAAAGGCAACAATAAGGTGAGAAACTTGATGAGGTCACATCAGTGACTTTGGCTGTTTCTACATCACATGCAGATTAACTTTTAAACCTTTATGTAACCAGAGTACATTCACAGTGCTCAATCCAGACCAGCAGTGCCTTGCTCAAGAGCACCTTGATGAAGTGATGAGAGAAGGCAAGTGCTCCTCCTTCATTACAAAGATTTGTCTTACCAGTCCTTACTGTCCAAAACACTGCCCATAAATAGTTAAGATATGAGAATAAATATAATCCTACGAAAGAGTTAAGTGAAAATTCAAAAGTATTTCCCTCCATTCAGGGATAAAACATCCAGATCAGGGTCTTGATGTCACAGCTTTCAATTGCTCAGCTCTCTGTGCTCAGTCTGCATTAACTCAAGAATGCATCGATGTAACTC